ATCGGGAGAAGGTGAGGCTGTAATACGTGGTTGATGTAACGTTGGGCTGTCAGGTTCCCTTCAACGATCACCAAGTCTGATTTCTGGTTGTATGAGATGGATCCCCAAACCATAACGCTTTCTCCGCCAAATCTGTCCCCTGTCGGACGCAGATGGGCGCAAAACGTTCATGACGTCTCCTATACACACGTTTCTTCCGTCGTGATGTTGCAAAAGAAAAACGGATTCATCAGAAAACCAGATGCGCCTCCAGTTTTGTAAAGTCCATATCCTTACGTTGTTGCACCACCTGAGTCGTCGGCGGAGATGTAGGGGGCGTAGTACAGGTCCAACAACTGGTCTACAGGCACGTAAACCCGCTTCTTTCAGACGGTTCCTAATCGTTTGAGCTGACACTCTCCTCAAACCTGGTATTTGTGTGGCAGTCACGGTTGGTAGGGCATGCCGATTACGCAGGTGATGGACCCGGATGTACCGATCTTGAAGGGGGGTCGTGATTCTTGGCCTTCCACTTCTCGGGCGATCGTTGGTCAAATTGAAGTTGTTGTAGCGGCTCCAAAGTCGGGATATCGTTGTTTAGTGAACATTTAGGTGCCGTGCAACAGTTCCAAAACTTTCTCCGGCTTGAACACGACCAATGGCGATATTTCGGTCGGCAGCACTCAATCGTGGCATTTTTCACACAGCTTTTCATGCGACAAATGAATGAATATAATACGAAAGCACATGGGCTTTTATACACCCCCTACATTAACTGCCATTTTCATGATTTGCATGTGTTTTTTGTGCGAAGTCACCATGAGGGTCATTTCATGCGTTGTGACGGAATAAGCAATAAAATACACTTATGCGTACAAATGCAGTTGTTTGATGGTAATCTTCATTAATTACGTGTATAATTTCAATACATCTGAATAACATTTAGTTTGGAAGCAATAACTTCATTCAAACGAATTTTTCATATCTGAGGACAGGGGTGCGTTTCTTTGACAGAGATGACGACATATTATCTATTTCTAAAATGCATTGCAAAAGTATTTTAGGGACAGCAAAGCCAAATTCAAAATACCTTGAAAATCGTCATACCATTTGTCAGACTATAAAAGTGACAATGACGGAGGCATCACCAAACTGGCAGACATCTGACACCTGCATCCCTTCTGGCTCTCTCACTCATTCCTTCCTCCTTGCACTAAGGTTATTAACTGTTGAAAGGTGTTCACTAGCCAACACATACGCTCACCTGCTGACCCTGTCACTCATCTAGTCACTCACTTATCTACTCACCACCCTGTCAATAACAACACCCACGTACTCACCCTGTCACTCACCACATCACCCACCTACTCACCCTGTCACTTACCACAACACCCACCTACTCACCCTGTCACTTACCACAACACCCACCTACTCACCCTGTCACTCACCACAACACTCCACTTACTCACCCTGTCACTAACTACACAACACTCCACCTACTCACCTTGTCAAGTCACTAATAACAACACCCACCTACTCACCCTTGTCACTAACCTACAACACCCACCTACTCACCCTCCCACCAACCACAACACTCCACCTACTCACCCTGTCACTAACCACAACACTCCACTCTACTCACCCTGTCACTTACCACAACACCCACCTACTTCACCCTGTGTCACTAACAAAAACACTCCACCTACTCACCCTGTCACTAACTACAACACTCCACCTACTCACCCTTGTCACTAACCACAACTCCCTACTTTCTACTTCACCCTGTCACTCACCACAACTCCCACTCTACTTCACCCTGTCACTCAACACAACACCCACTCTACTTCACCCTGTCACTCACCATAACACTCCACGTACTACCACCCTGTCACTAATAAATAACACCCACCTACTCACCTCTGTCACTAACCACAACACTCCACTCTACTACCTCTGTCACTAACCACAACACCCACCTACTCACCCTGTCACTAACAACAACACTCCACTCTACTTCAATTTCTGTCACTAACCACAACACTCCACTCTACTCACCTCTGTCACTCACCACAACACCCACTCTACTCACCTCTTGTCACTCACCACAACACCCACCTACTCACCCTGTCACTAACCACAACACCCACTCTACTCACCCTGTCACTAACCACAACACTCCACTCTACTTCACCCTGTCACTCACCACAACATTCACTCTACTCACCCTGTCCCTGTCACTCACCCCTAATACCCACCTACTCACCCTGTCAATCATCCAAACATCCACCTACTCACCCTGTCACTCACCAGAACACTCAGCTACTCACCTTGTCACTCGCCACAACACTTTCACTCTACTCACCCTGTCACTAACTGGTACACCTAGCTAATCACTAGCTCACTCACTAATTTCTAATCACTACTCACTCACCTGTTACCCACCCACCAACTCTTCACCACCCAACCTTTCCAACCAACCAACCAGACACCACACTCACTTTCTTTCAACCTGACCACACATGTACCCTACATACTCACTCACTCACTCACCCATCCATACTATACCCAACCAACCATCTATCCACTGATCCATCCATTAACCATAGCAGAGAACAAAACACTCACTCACTCATCCATACTATACCCAACCAACCATCTATCCACTGATCCATCCATTAACCAAAGCAGAGAACAAAACACTCACTCACTCATCCATACTATACCCAACCAACCATCTATCCACTGATCCATCCATTAACCAAAGCAGAGAACAAAACACTCACTCACTCATCCATACTATACCCAACCAACCATCTATCCACTGATCCATCCATTAACCAAAGCATAGAACAAAACACTCACTCACCCTTCCATAAACCCAACCATCCAACCACTCAATAACTCACTCACCTACACACCCACTCACCCACATACCCACTCACCCACATACCCAAACACCCACTCATCCACACACCCACACACCCACTCATCCACACACCCACTCACCCACACACCCAAACACCCACTCATCTACACACCCACTCACCCACACACCCAAACACCCACTCACCCACACACCCAAACACCCACTCAACCACACACCCACACACCCAAACACCCACTCACCCACACACCCACTCATCCACACACCCACTCATCCACACACCCACTCATCCACACACCCACTCACCCACACACCCACTCACCGACTCATCCACACACCCAATCACTCACACACCCATTCATCCACACACCCAAACACCCACTCATCCACACACACACTCACCCACTCATCCACACACCAACTCACCCACACGCCCAAACACCCACTCATCCACACACCCAAACACCCACTCATCCACACACCCACTCACCCACACACCCACTCATCCACACACACCCACTCACCCACACACCCACTCATCCACACACCCACTCATCCACACACCCACTCACCCACTCACCCACTCACCCACTCATCCACACACCCACTCACCCACACACCCACTCACCCACTCACCCACTCACCCACACACCCACTCACCCACTCATCCACACACCCACTCATCCACACACCCACTCATCCACACACCCACATGCACAGTGGATTTCTGGTTGATGTTGTCGTCGCCGAGGACTGAGATGTAACAGGAGATGCGAGTTATCCTGAAGACAATATTTAACACTGAGCTGGCATGGCGGCCACAAACAGTCATTAGGGTCTTGCACTTGAATATTGATCTAAATATAGTTCTCATCAGTGAAAGAGTTGGGTTTTTAATTATTTCAAAGGAGCTGTTGTTATCTTCTGAGATTTGTTGGTTTGTACTCCGTCGCACACAGCTTTATGACGTCAGACTGGATCCTTTTACAAAAAGCTTGTTAACACTGCGACAGTCGATCGATTGTGTTTAAGTTTAAGTTTCGATCACCTTAGCTCGAAGACCGGGACATCACAAAATGTAATCGATATTATGTGCACTACGCCACAGAGAGAGAGTTTGTCTGAGAGTTTGGTTTTCTTTAAATGTACCTCCATCCAGTAATAACAACTGACCATATCTTTTAATATTTAAAGTGATGTTTTATCTACATGATAACTTCTGCTGAGTGGGACCACATGTGTTTTCAAGAGGTTGACATTTTGCGGAAATGGTGTTCGTCTAATAGCTTCCTGTACTCGGAAAAGGAGCTGGCTGAGGTGGTCATTTTTTGTATTTTTATTTGCTTCTATAAGGCTTGTATAGGCGATTAACTATATATGTAATGTCGCCGACGTGAAGATTTAAAACATTCGGGACTTCAAGAGAATCCCGACAAATTAGTCTTCTGCTTCTACATATATGGGCAAACATCCCACGACAGCCTGGGTGGCATTTACCGATGAACACTGGAGTGACACTTGTCTGGCGTCTGGCGTCCCAGATTGTGGACTAAAGGCGGTATTTTACGAATGCTTCCTGTGGTCGACGGTCTCTTCCACCTATGGTCTTAAGTATTCGACCTGTTTGAGGCTGCTCAATGCGATAATCAAGCCTATGGTGAGTGACTGAATTTGCTCTGACAGACCACAATATGAATGGAAGATCCCTAAATATGGTTCAAATATAAAACGTATTTAATTGGAAAGTTAAAACCCTCAATATTCCACTATCCCAACCCTATAGTGATCCTTACTGCTCCCCATCTCACCCCAACACACACACAAATAACCCATCCCACACCTTTCATTGTCGTTTTGGGTTGGTTGTTTTTTTACAGGACACCGACTCACACCCCACTCAACCCACCCTACACACCACCGGTGTGCATGACGCTTGTTAGTTAGAAGAGATATCAATTTCAATATTTTGTCAGAAATTAATTAACCGAGATTGTGCTTTGTCTTGCATTCACGAATAGCCAGATGTATATTGATTGCAGCAAAGACGTACGTATACGTCTTTGACTGCAGTATCAAACTCATATTTCGTTCAAGTTGTTTTATATAAACCATGGCCAAACTTCCGGTATAAAATGAATTAATGAATGCTCCCTGGGTTGACAACATGGCAGATTGGAGAAGTAACAGAAACGGTTTGTTTACTTATTGCTGTTTGCTTTGATCACTTCTACCCACTTCACTTAAGTATTTATTTGGGCGTTGGACGTGCGGTCGTGCATTTTCTGGTAGACAATAGTCTTTCTTTTGGATTAGAGGGATAGTGCAAGAAACGACAGCCTGTCAATATCAACAGCTTTCAGTCAATGATGAGTTCCTGCCTGACAACAGTGCAGTTTTCTGTATCGCACTCACGAAACGAAAGACGTTGTTATCCATAAAAGTTGTTATAATTACACTTCCCAACTTCTAAAATGCCACTCAAAGAAGCTTTGAGTCAGTTTGACAGCCATCACTGGTGTCGTCAGAATGTCATCACCGCCTGTGTCAAAAACAGCCACCTGTAAGTCCTCCCCCATAACCACTGACTTGAGATTTTTATAACCATTTATATTATTTGATAAAATGGAAATACAGTATGTGTCAATTTATGGTTAGGGAAAGGGTTTTAATATGACACTGTGATTACAGATGGAAAGCCTGACTTGATGGATGAAATCACTGGGATGAAATTATCAGCCTCAATGACTTAACCGATTGTGTAATAAAAATAGTGGGACATCTGCACTTTATGGGTCGCTGCCTTCAGGACCCTAACCCTAACCCACGCTAGAGTTAACAAGAAATGGCGTAAACTTTCGGGGACCCATAAAGTGCAGTCTACCTCGATGTAACAATGCTCCTTATATTTCTTTCTTATTGATTTGATTCAGAGTTGATAATGTTCAGGAAGGTGATGTATGGTTAGATTGTTAGCAGACGTTACAAATGGACATTTGGTGTCAGTAACTAAATAAGTCCCACAAAAAGTAGACAGGAAATCATTGTCAGTTTTGTAAGTTTCAAGTCAAATTCTATTAGTATATTAGTATTATCCAGCAAGAAGAGGGTGAAAAGGAAATTATGTGTGCAATGTACACTGCCAGTCGATTGAAACCCGATTTTGATTCTTAACTAAACTATTTTGACACAAATGGATGACAATGTGTCCGCACACAACAGGGCTGTGGTCGAAGCAAGCCCTCTGATTTTAAGTATTTTCAGTGCAATATCTTTATCAATCTGGATAGCGATTTTTGCTGACATGTTACTGAAAGGTGACTGTACCTTTAGTCACTGTCAGATTGATTTATCTGATAACATTGATAATGTCACCCAAACACAACCACCCTCAGAATCAACATGCAAAATGTGTGGCATGGATGTGCTCCACTCTTCACATATCCACCCTAATCGGTGTAAACCCACTTGTAATCATTCCTCTGGCAGTCAACAAGCGGGTCCTAACTTCATGTTTATGGATGATAATGCCTGTCCATGGATGATAATGCCCGAGAAAGAGTTGTAAATGATGTTGTTTAGATCAACATCACACATATGGACTGGCCTGCAAGGTCATCTGATCTTAATCCCATTGAACATGCTTTGGGTATTGTTGGAAGTCGTGTTTACAGTCTCCATGTTCACCCCAGACTCTGGATGACCTTGAGCAGGCGTTACAGAGAGAATGGCAGATCAGGCCACAACAACAACTTGAAAGCCTCATTTGGTCAATGCAAAGACGTATAGAAGCTTGCATTTGTGCTAATGGTGGTCATACGTGTTACTGAACACTGCTTCACTGTCCAAAACTTATTTGAACCTTAATGTTAACATTTTGCTCCATCAATGCAGCACATTTTGCACAACTGTTTCACGGGTACATGCTTTTGATGATTTGTAAGTGTATTATTGCTCAATACAATTTCATTTCATTTTGGTAATCGTGTGTACATATGTTTCAGCTTTCTATTGCATCATTCCATGATTTGCAATTTCAATAAATGAAAATGTAATGAGACTAAAAGTTTGTGTTGCTTAACTTTTTGTGAGGAGTTATCTATATTCAGTAAACTCCATTGTTGTGCATTATGATGAAAAATACTGACTTAAAGATAGATGTGTATGTTAGTCCCTATTTATGATACATTTAGTACCATGAATAAAGTTGAAAGCAAACTGTAGAATATATACAAATTAACCATGCCTTCAGACACTGGCGCTTGCTATAAAAAGAGCCCCCCTTACCCTCCTCTCTCTCTCTCTGTATGTTTTGCTGATAATGTGATGTGCATTTTTAATCAGTTGTAACAGCCCAAGTTAAAAAGTTATCACTTGTCAGTGTGTATTCACAGTATTCTGTGTGTGCTTTCAGGCAAGACAGAGGAGATTCTCGACCATGAGAACCAGCAGAGAGTTGATGGCTTGGCGGGAAAGATCTCCAGATTGAAAGGGGTGAGCAGGTTTCTTTCATGACCTGACATATAACTTGGATATGGCCTGATACTACCATGACCTGACCATTATTATTAGTAGTAGTACTGAATATTTATATAACGCACATATCTACACACTAGTCAGTGTAGGAAAGATGTAGAAAATCTAGCCTGTCCACAGGACTGGCAGGTCAAATTTTTTACCAGTCCTGCCAAAATCTAGCCTGTCCTCCAAATATAAATAAAACACCTTCGGCAGTAAATATTCAAAAAGGTTATAATCATTATATATGTCATTGGTTTGCTAAAATTGACCCGACATGAGGACGGACTAGATATTTTTTTAACCCGTCCTCCACAAAATTCACCCGTCTCGGACGTTGGGACGGGCTATCTTTCCTACACTGCACTAGTGCATGCTCAAGGCACTGGTGTTTTTTCCCTTGATCATTGGATGTCAATCTCAACGGCACATCTTATCATCAGTCTCGGCACCTTGGGGATCATACAACTCTTGCAGCCACTAGGCACACCGAGTCAGTGTGGCTTTCTCATCCTAACGAGGTACCCATTCACAGCTGGGTGGACTAGGACACATAGTCACAGTACTTTGTCCAAGTTTACTGCATGTTGCTGTACCTGCAACTAGGTGTTTGCACATATTCATGTGGCCACCATCTGGTCATTTTCCAACGGATTCATGGGTTCTTTTAACTGCACAAGGTTGTGTACTGTACACTAGGGGTTGTGACAACACTGAAAGAATCTGCACACAAAGTTGACTCCAAGGTTTTTACACCCGGTCACATGTGGGCTTGATCCCGGCACCTCAAGCTCGCTGGATCATTAGCCTGACACCTTAGCCAGCTTGCCCACGACGCCCCCAAATGTGTAGTGGTGTCCGTTATTACCATGACCTGATATATGACGTGGCTGTGACCTGATATACGGCATGTGGCTGTGACCTGATATATGACATGTGGCTGGCTGTGACGTGGCTGATATACGCGATACATGTGGCTGTGACCTGATATATGACCATGCACTAACCACATGATATTTTTCAGATTGCTCTGGACTTGGAAACAGAGTCTCGAGACTCAAACCGATACCTGGATGGAATGGTAAGGCCATATGCTCACTGGAAGTTTTGCTTCCAACCTCCCTACCCCTCTGATTGAAGCAAGGCTTCCTATGCTGATGTTGATGTCCATGTTGGAAGTCACCAGCACAGGTTGTTGTCACTGACAGGGGTCTTAGCCAGATTTTTGCATTACAAGCCCCTGTGGTTACCAATCCCAGAAAATCCTTTCCCAGTGAGTTGGAGTTTCAGAATTGTTTTCAGGATGACATTCTTGGACATGACCTTATTATTATGCAAAAATGTACAAGCGATTATTATCAAAAAGTTGTAAACTGAAAGCATGGAAGTGTCCTGTTGTCCAGTTTGTGCAGTCACTGATTAGATCATTCCTCACAAATATGTCAACCAAGGTAGATCCTTATATAAGTGTCTGTTTAACTGACATTTCAACCAGTAATTGTTATGGTTGTCTAAGTAATCTCCTTCCCTTCTGTCGCCAGCAAGATGACTTCGGCAGCACGCAGGGTTTGTTGTCCGGCAGTGTGACACGATCACCAGCATGGTGAACTCCGGCAAGGGCAACCGGAAAGTCATGTGCTACATCATCATCGGACTTGTGTCTCTGTTCTTCCTTGCCTATTACCTGGTATCCAAGGTAACAGCAGGATGAATGCTGTGGCGCCAACAGGCATGGGATAAGAGTGGGAGTATTCAGGACGGGACAGATACAGACTGACTACATTGTGTTGTTTGTGGTGTTCCGGGCAGCACTGCTTTGTGGGTTTATGATCAGACACAATCTTATTTCTTTAAGTTTCTTGTGGGATTTTAAGGATATTAATGGGAAACTAACTACATTCTGACCAGATTGAAAACCTAGTTTGAATCAAGTAGTGCAAACATTTGTTTGTTTGTCTACTATCACCATGCTATTGTGCATATCTGTCACGATAACCCCAGTCACACTGACTCCATTACACAATGATATGTGTTACACACGACGCCAAGACACAGACTTCGCTACACAGACATCATTACACAGTCTGCATTACAGACTCCGCTACACAGACATACATTACACAGTCTGCATTACACAGACTCCGCTACACAGACATCATTACACAGTCTGTATTACAGACTCCGCTACACAGACATCATTACACAGTCTGCATTACACAGACTCCGCTACACAGACATCATTACACAGTCTACATTACACTCCGGCTAGACTTACACACTCTACTCTACAGACATCATTACACAGACTGTACGCTACTCCGCTACATCATTACACAGTCTGTATTACAGACTCCGCTACACAGACATCATTACACAGTCTGCATTACACAGACTCCGCTACACAGACATCATTACACAGTCTGCATTACAGACTCCGCTACACAGACATCATTACACAGTCTGCATTACACAGACATCATCATCAGACTCCGCTCGCATTACATCATTGCATTACACAGACTCCGCTACACAGACATCATTACACAGACTCACAGCTACACAGACATCATTACACAGTCTACATTACAGACACATTACGCTACATCATCATTACACAGTCTGCATTACACGGACAACTACACAGACATCATTACACAGTCGTCATTACAGACTCCACACAGAACATCGGCTACACGAGCGTACACAGATTCCGCACACAGTCTGCATTACACAGTCTGCCATTACAGACTCCACTACACAGACATCATTACACAGTCTGCATTACACAGACTCCGCTACACAGACATCATTACACAGTCTGCATTATGCAGACTCCGTTACACAGTCTGCATTACGCAGATTCTGTTACAAAGCCATCATTACTCAGTCTCCATTACACAGACTCTGTTACATAGACTCCATTATGTGTTTTGCGTTACACAGACGCCATTTACACAGTCTCCATTTACACATCCTCCATTACACAGGTTTTTCATCTCAACAGATACAGACAACTCACCCTCAAAACAGAGTTGCCTGCTGAACCGAGTTTTTCTTCAGCATTTTGATAGGCAGTTTGATGAAGTGATCTGGACCTTAGTTGTGTTAGGAACAAAACATCTGGAATTCACCGACATGACATCAATGATCTGTAGAGGCATTGTTTAATACTGGGTCAAGTTTCATCAAAGATGAAAATTGGATGGAAAATAACAGTTGTGTCCACTGCGTCACTAAGAACCTATTTATTGATGCTGGGGACTAAACAAATATGTTACTATCATTGATGGTAAACAAGACTGTTTGTAGTTCTAAACTGAGCATATATTTTTGTTGGATTTGAACTGTGATGTTAATTAATGATTTTCCCAATATGATTGCTAGAACAAAGTCATGACAAAAGAGATGTGTGATAATATTGTAACCGTGGCAAAAGTAGTACATTTACATTTTGCTGTACAATATGAACATTTGAAGTTAATCTATTAAACATACATAGTCCAAACATGCAGGATAGAAATGCTGTACAATTGGGATTGATTATGTAATAAGGCTGCAGCACGATCACCAGAAGGTCATAAATTTGTCATGTTTACATTTTGTGTATGAGACTAAGTGTAGATAATAATCACATTATTTTTAGATTTAAAGAGAAGTTTCCTGACTTTCTGTTACATTTCGTGTGTAAAACAAATGCTCAAATTCCCTTCCTAATACTTGAACTAAAAGTACCTCCTTAGTGCACATCATATGCAAAATATGTTTAGTACCAGTTTTATTCTCTATCCTTTTCATCAGGTCATGCCACAACATGTTTACAACATGTGTACATTCAAATAACAAATGGAGGATATTTTCAGTGTCAGAACATAGTGAAGATGTTATGATTAGCTGTACATATTGGATCAAGTCCATGAGTTCTATGAAAATGTATGTTCATGTTTCTATATCAATGTCATTTTCCTAATTTCATTGATTTTCGTCAATTTTCTTTTAATGTATTTTCATTTATTGAATTGGCATAAATTAGCCTTCATCCATGTTCCTCTCACTCAGAGAGTTCTATCGGTTTCTTGCCATGTGAGCCACCCTTCTTGGGGCATCAGTGTTCAGTGTTAATGAATTCATGGCTTATGTCATTGTATGTGCAGAAGCTTACTTGTTACATTAGTCTGAGTATGTACATCTATATCTTTTAGGACATATGAACCCTTGAGTGTAGGGGGTCATAAATGTGTTGTACACAGGTTTTAGTCATATCTCTGTAAATATTGTAAATGTATATATGAACACAGAGAGGGAAGATGTGTACATACTGGAAAGGAACAGGATGGGAGAAATAAAGCTTTAAAATACACCATTTCTTGCTTTATTTCATGCATATGTGTGTGTGTGGATTGTGAAGGATGGAGGGGATATATCACACTCCAATATATTCCTGATGTATTCCACATCATTAACTGGGATATAACACGTGCACCACTTCAGGCTCTCCTTCAACATCAAACTGGGATATAACACATGCACCACTACAGGCTTTCCTTCCACATCAAACTGGGATATAACACCTGCACCACTTCAGGCTCACCTTCAACGTCAAACTGGGATATAACACATGCACCACTACAACCTCTCCTTCCACATCAAACTGGGATATAACACATGCACCACTTCAGGCTCACCTTCCACATCAAACTGGGATATAACACCTGCACCACTACAACCTCTCCTTCCACATCAAACTGGGATATAACACATGCACCACTACAGGCTCTCCTTCCACATCAAACTGGGATATAACACATGCACCACTACAACCTCTCCTTCCACATCAAACTGGGATATAACACATGCACCACTTCAGGCTCACCTTCAACGTCAAACTGGGATATAACACATGCACCACTACAACCTCTCCTTCCACATCAAACTGGGATATAACACATGCACCACTTCAGGCTCTCCTTCCACATCAAACTGGGATATAACACATGCACCACTACAACCTCTCCTTCCACATCAAACTGGGATATAACACATGCACCACTTCAGGCTCTCCTTCAACGTCAAACTGGGATATAACACATGCACCACTACAACCTCTCCTTCCACATCAAACTGGGATATAACACATGCACCCACTTCAGGCTCTCCTTCAACGCCAAACTGGGATATAACACATGCACCACTACAACCTTTCCTTCCACATCAAACTGGGATATAACACATGCACCACTTCAGGCTCTCCTTTCAACGTCAAACTGGGATATAACACATGCACCACTACAACCTCTCCTTCCACATCAAACTGGGATATAACACATGCACCACTACAGGCTCTCCTTCCACATCAAACTGGGATATAACACATGCACCACTACAACCTCTCCTTCCACATCAAACTGGGATATAACACATGCACCACTACAACCTCTCCTTCCACATCAAACTGGGATATAACACATGCACCACTACAGGCTCTCCTTCCACATCAAACTGGGATATAACACCTGCACCACTACAACCTCTCCTTCCACATCAAACTGGGATATAACACATGCACCACTTCAGGCTCTCCTTCCACATCAAACTGGGATATAACACATGCACCACTACAACCTCTCCTTCCACATCAAACTGGGATATAACACATGCACCACTTCAGGCTCTCCTTCAACGTCAAACTGGGATATAACACATGCACCACTACAACCTCTCCTTCCACATCAAACTGGGATATAACACATGCACCACTTCAGGCTCTCCTTCCACATCAAACTGGGATATAACACATGCACCACTTCAGGCTCACCTTCAACGTCAAACTGGGATATAACACCTGCACCACTACAACCTCTCCTTCCACATCAAACTGGGATATAACACATGCACCACTTCAGGCTCACCTTCAACGTCAAACTGGGATATAACACATGCACTACTACAGGCTCTCCTTCCACATCAAACTGGGATATAACACATGCACCACTACAGGCTCTCCTTCAACGTCAAACTGGGATATAACACATGCACTACTACAGGCTCTCCTTCCACATCAAACTGGGATATAACACATGCACTACTACAGGCTCTCTTTCCACATCAAGCTGGGATAGAACACATGCACCACTACAGGCTCTCCTTCAACGTCAAACTGGGATAGAACACATGCACCACTTCAGGCTCTCCTTCCACATCAAAACCCCGCCGTGATATTGCTCGAATATTGCTAAAAGCGGCATAAAACCAAACTCACTCACTCACTCCACATCAAACTGGGATATAACACATGCACCACTACAACCTCTCCTTCCACATCAAAACTTGGATATAACACATGCACCACTTCAGGCTCACCTTCAACGTCAAACTGGGATATAACACCTGCACCACTACAACCTCTCCTTCCACATCAAACTGGGATATAACACCTGCACCACTTCAACCTCTCCTTCCACATCAAACTGGGATATAACACATGCACCACTACAACCTCTCCTTCCACATCAAACTGGGATATAACACATGCACCACTACAACCTCTCCTTCCACATCAAACTGGGATATAACACCTGCACCACTACAACCTCTCCTTCCACATCAAACTGGGATATAACACATGCACCACTACAGGCTCTCCTTCCACATCAAACTGGGATATAACACCTGCACCACTTCCACAACCTCTCCTTCCACATCAAACTGGGATATAACACCTGCACCACTTCAACCTCTCCTTCCACATCAAACTGGGATATAACACATGCACCACTACAGGCTCTCCTTCCACATCAAACTGGGATATAACACATGCACCACTACAGGCTCTCCTTCCACATCAAACTGGGATATAACACATGCACCACTACAGGCTCTCCTTCCGCATCAAACTGGGATATAACACATGCACCACTACAGGCTCTCCTTCCACATCAAACTGGGATATAACACATGCACCACTACAGGCTCTCCTTCCACATCAAACTGGGATATAACACATGCACCACTACAGGCTCTCCTTCCACATCAAACTGGGATATAACACATGCACCACTACAGGCTCTCCTTCCACATCAAACTGGGATATAACACATGCACCACTACAGGCTCTCCTTCCACATCAAACTGGGATATAACACATGCACCACTTCAGGCTCACCTTCAACGTCAAACTGGGATATAACACATGCACCACTACAACCTCTCCTTCCGCATCAAACTGGGATATAACACATGCACCACTACAGGCTCTCCTTCCACATCAAACTGGGATATAACACATGCACCACTACAGGCTCTCCTTCCACATCAAACTGGGATATAACACATGCACCACTTCAGGCTCACCTTCAACGTCAAACTGGGATATAACACATGCACCACTACAACCTCTCCTTCCACATCAAACTGGGATATAACACATGCACCACTTCAGGCTCTCCTTCCACATCAAGCTGGGATATAACACATGCACCACTACAGGCTCTCCTTCCGCATCAAACTGGGATATAACACATGCACCACTACAGGCTCTCCTTCCACATCAAACTGGGATATAACACATGCACCACTACAGGCTCTCCTTCCGCATCAAACTGGGATATAACACATGCACCACTACAGGCTCTCCTTCAACATCAAACTGGGATATAACATCTGCACCACTACAGGCTCTCCTTCCACATCAAACTGGGATATAACACATGCACCACTACAGGCTCTCCTTCAACATCAAACTGGGATATAACACATGCACCACTACAGGCTCTCCTTCCACATCAAGCTGGGATATAACACATGCACCACTTCAGGCTCTCCTTCCACATCAAGCTGGGATATAACACATGCACCACTACAGGCTCTCCTTCCACATCAAACTGGGATATAACACATGCACCACTACAGGCTCTCCTTCAACATCAAACTGGGATATAACACATGCACCACTACAACCTCTCCTTCAACATCAAACTGGGATATAACACATGCACCACTACAGGCTCACCTTCCACATCAAACTGGGATATAACACATGCACCACTACAGGCTCTCCTTCCACATCAAACTGGGATGCTTCTTAAAGAGGCTGTCGCTCAAATTGGTAAACACCCGAGAATCTTACATCCCACGTAATTATGGCAAGTTAACAAGAAGTGTGGGTGGATGCGTGTGTGTGTGGTTGTGTGTGTGTTTGAAGGTGTGTAAACATTTGCTCATTGGTTCGACTCCCTTCAAAGATACAGTATGTAAAATCTCATTGTTTAGTATGTGCTATGAATGATATTTGATAATAATGCGTATGTTTGATAAGGGCAACATTTATTGTTTCTGTGTTTTTCATCGCCCGACTGACTGTAAATTGGCCGCCAGCCCGATAATTACGAAAACCTTTTTTTATTTCTGCTGACTCGAACTCAAACCCTTCCGACTGTTCATTCAGTTGCTTCGTTCCCGTGTCAGTGCGGGGATTAAGGCTGTAGGTAGAGGATAGGTGCAACGTAAGAAGAAAGCTAAGTTGGTCTTAACATTCTACTTTCTTACATTTTATTATCATGTATTAAACAACTTTTGAATGACCGAGGTGTGGGTTGGTCCTCTCATCTGGCGGTCAGACTCTGAAACTTTGTTGGTTGCGAGGATCGTTGTTCATGATATCGATCACTGGTTTGTAAAATCGCTGTCATACAGCTGGGATATATTTCGGTGTGGGATAAACAAACAAACATGTCCGCTCGAGCTCTGAATAACAAGACCAAGAAGCGCCCATAAAATATTCAAGATCTTAGCGGCCGACACTGCCTGTTTTCTTTTTGCGTTACAAGCTCCTGTGTTTCTGGGTTGGGTTGCACGGTATCACATCAAACCTTGCGTATTTTCTGCCGCGCCGGTTGATAATATCCCAGTCACGTGAGCAGCTCGTTATTCACCGTTGTGCAATAGGTAAGCCACGCTTGTGTCTGAGGAAGCGACACCAGTCTGGGTAAGCCGCACTTGTGTATGGGTAAGCGATACCAGTCTGGGTAAGCCACGCTTGTGTATGGGTATGGGATACCAGTCTGGGTAAACCACGCTTGTGTATAGGTAAGCGATACCAGTCTGGGTAAGCCGCACTTGTGTATGGGTAAGAGATACCAGTCTGGGTAAGCCACGCTTGTGTACAGGTATTGGATACCAGTCTGGGTAAACCACGCTTGTGTACAGGTAAGCGACACCAGTCTGGGTAAGCAACTTGTGTACAGGTAAGCGACACCAGTCTGGATAAGCCACGCTTGTGTATAGGTAAGCGATACCAGTCTGGGTAAGCCACGCTTGTGTATAGGTAAGGGATACCAGTCTGGGTAAGCCACGCTTGTGTATAGGTAAGCGATACCAGTCTGGGTAAGCCACGCTTGTGTATAGGTAAGCGATACTAGTCTGGGTAAGCCACGCTTGTGTACAGGTAAGGGATACCAGTCTGGGTAAGCCACGCTTGTGTATAGGTAAGCGACACCAGTCTGGGTAAGCCACGCTTGTGTATAGGTAAGGAATACCAGTCTGGGTAAGCCACGTTTGTGTATGGGTAGGCGACACCAGTCTGGAGAAGCATCTCCTGCGTACGGGTAAGCCACATAGTCTGGGTAGTCCACACATGTGTACCGGTAAGTACATGTACGCCCCTCTATGTGCGCCCCTAAATTCCCCATGTCAAGGTGTGAGTCTCCTTGTTACATTTACATACAAAATAGAAACCTCAAAGGAGACAAGAATATCCCAGAGCCGAATCAGAATTGGCGTACCCAATCACTCGATTTGGATTTATAACTTTATACTCTCGGGCCTGGACCTCTGTTCCCACAAATTGTGGGTCCTACAAGCTGGCTATGGAGATCAGTACACATAAGTACATTTACTCATATACGGATGTATATCTTGAATTATTGTCTTCCTAACAAAAATCAAATCCTCGTCAGCAAGGAAGTCCTTGTTTGGCTCGGACCAGTTGGCCGAGAAAGTGGATTCACTTCACTGATGTCACTATGTGAACTAAATCCTCATTGATAAATCCGATGGAAATGGCAGAACGTCAGATACTTCCGGTAAATACGTCTAGGCCTCGACTAGACACATGCCCTAGACCATGGAGTGAGCTCCTTTTGTCGCTGTAACTATGAAAGTAAAACAACAGAAGGAACACACAAAGATCATTTTCATATTAAAAATATATTTATTGTAAATGTAGAAGACATTACGTAGACAATGATTTTGACCTTTGTTAGAGGTGCCCTTACATCACAGACAGCAGTTTGTACACATCGTCATATGACGTTCCTAAAGCAACGTCGACACTTGCCTAGCAACCCGTTTCTCTTACCAACTATACACGAGACCGTGAAACCAAGGAATCATCACAGAAAATATTGGAATGTTCATTTATACGATCAGTCAGAAGGCACTTGTGACCGAATGACGACACCCGAGTCTTTACCCTTATACAAGTATTTGGTATATCTCTGTACCGTTACCAATATCAATAAGCCCGGTCATTGCGAATAATCTATCGTTTCAGACAGTAGCACGGTCATGCGGTGAATGTCATACCTGAAACCAGTAACAAGTAAGGATGATGTTGAGTTAATCTTTTACCAAATATAGCCGTTGTGTAAAAATATAGTTCTATCAAAAATGCCCATACACATGAATATGAAAAATAGATGTATGTATTTACAATTCCCATAACATTACTACACATAACATGAATATCACTTCTTCGCCAGTCACCGATATGCAGTGTATGGAGAATCATGCCTCCAGCTCGAACATTCATACCTCGACTACCCGTGCCTAATAACGTCAGCCAATAAACGGTAAATGTCAAGGTCAGTAAATGACCGGTATGTATACACTACGTCCTTCCATCACCCAGGACGACATACGGCGGCTTGCAGTGACGTGGGTCCGTCCACAGTCAGGCTATGCCGTGTGTTACTGCCGGAAGTCCGTGCATAGCCATACTCCGTGCACAGACGTTGTGTGAACCCTACCGTTGCATGACATTGAAACAATGTTTAGAGTAGAGACCTCAAGACTGTTTCACTTGTCGCAAGAGAAATATTGCCGATGTTCATTTGTGTGAGACATCTCCGGTTATACTCTTACTAAGCTTTGACTTAACTGGAGGTTGAAACGGCTGTCACTCCCAGTTGTTGCATGTGTCCCCGGAGGGTGTCATGGCATATACAATAGCAGTCCTGTATTGTCCATGGGGAAAGTTCAGCGTGGAGGAACTCTGTCTACATGATTACACAGTGGCCTTCTGGTAGTCTGCATGCTGTTCCCAGTAAAGGTTCCAGGTGAACTGTTCGTTGTAATGTCCTTTCTATAGGGGTTTCCTGATTAACAGGGTGTCAGTGATCACAACTACTGTGGACTGAGTGAAGACAGCACTAAGGTGAGTAAGTTTCGGGAACATCAAGACAATGGCGGAAGAAGGCACCAAGATACTAACGTCCCTTGAATACCGTGTTAGCAAACACATGTACACCATGATAGAAGGCCGGAAGTTCCGTCTATGTTACGGATCGCGTACATGGTAATGTATTACATGTCCATCAGTTATCTTGTATCAACAATAAAGAATGAAACCACACCAATACCACGCCTCTGCCAGGACGCAGAGTTATCTCCCTTTCCAGAGATAGGAATCACAGACTGTCCCCATCTGGCAAACCTGACGGTAAAATCAGTTCCAAATCATGGAAAACTATTTACAAAAGGAACGACCTGAGCTAACCGATAACAGCCTCGAGACGGGGCAGCCGTGTCACTCATTCCCTGGTCAGCGCTAGTACATGGTACACGACTTCTTCGCAACCATATTGGTGTTTGATGGACAGTTAAACACGTCTCTGAACTCTGGGACTTGAGACACTGCCATGTTAACCCTGGAAATGAAAAACGTATGGTGAACAAATGTCCTTTTGTGTAATGCCAGTTTCCTTCTGCAAGATTAAAGGCGGTAATACTTACACAGGCCTGTAAGAGCCATCGTGTGTGTGTGTGTGTGTGTGTGTGTGTTGCATTACATTGTACGATAGTACTTACGTCACGTGGACCGTTATTAAATCGTTTAAGACATCCTTGTTACACTACATGTTTGACTTTCATCCTCATATGGAATATCCGGAAACGTTGTTGATTTTCATTGCACGTTAGAACTTATGGTAATCATTGGTACACTTACTTCAGGTTCTCCTGCAAAATGCCCCGAGCTGCCTGGGAAAACGCTTCATTCGGATTACGGTTGAAGCAGTTGGCCTGAAGCAGAAAAGTATCCAAGTGTATTTATTTCTTATTTCACCTGACATATACTCTGACCTGGAGGTTGAATCATCAACATCTTAGTTAATTCACAGAAACTGAACTGTCTCGGTCTTCACACATCACATGGATACAAGTCATGGAGCCTTTGACTGACACTTACAAGCTGGAACAACATGGGGACATAGAACTTTCAAGTTTCATAGATAAAACGTAGTAATTCAGGGCTTCCTAGTGGAGGCAGGTGGTAGTGATGGTCTCTGGGTACAATACCCTCGTCAGGTTGCTGACCAACAGCATTTAGCAACATACGTCTTCATTTGATTTTATCATACTGTTCTCCTATGTGTGTGGATATTGTTTAGTGATTTCCCTACAGAAACAGGCGGTGGCACAAGATGTGTCTGGGAAATAAAGGCCGTCTCTGGATATCAGCATGCACCTACCTGAGCGTATGCTACAAAGAACATCTGGTCGTTATTCCTGGAGACACCAGGTGCTTTCCTCTCTACCTTGTTAGCTTTCTCCCATGCCTTGAAAGCCTGGAAGACAACCATCGATGGTCACTGGTCAGTGTGGTACATAAACGCGGTGAGGTGAATATTACCATCATTCACTGGTCAGTGCGGTACATATACACGGCGAGGTGAATATTACCATCATTCACTGGTCAGTGTGGTACATATACGCGGCGAGGTGAATATTACCATCATTCACTGGTCAGTGCATGGTACATATACGCGGCGAGGTGAATATTACCATCATTCACTGGTCAGTGTGGTACATATACGCGGCGAGGTGAATATTACCATCATTCACAGGTCAGTGTGGTACATAAACGCGGCGAGGTGAATATTACCATCATTTACTTTATTGCTTTAATCTTTTGAATTATACAGACTCTAAATTTAAACTGACGCTCTACATTTTGTACTGCTCTTGTAATACATTTCTTTGAGAGGTATTTTAGAAGTTGGGATGTACAATATAGAACACACTGTATGGATAACAACTTCTTGTATTCGTAAGTGCTTGACAACGGTACAAGAATATGTATCGAAACGTCGCACTCACGAAGAAAAGAAGATGTTATCTAGACAGTTTTTTTCTATACTGTATTACACATTAGTAGTGATTTGCGTAAATTTGTAAACTTTGTTAATGTTAGAATACAACTGTTAATCACATCCTATTTCCTAATCGTTTGTCGGTTTCACACCGCGTTCTTTTACGGACTGATTCGGACTCGGGTATCAGCTCCAACAGGGTAACGCCAGATTTAGAAGAGGTTACCTTGTACGCTAGTCTAACACCGCTAGTCTCAGCAAGGGCCTCGGGAGCGTATCCTGGGGCGTCCACGGGCACCTGCAGCAGATAAAAGCACAGTGTAGTTTGCAGAGAAACATAACTCATTAAACGTCATCGTAAAATGTTTCCATGATGTTTTAAGAAAGCAGCGTGGAAAAAAAACAAACTCAGATTCAGAAAATGCAACTAAATGTGGGAGTGACTCAAAAACAAGCATATGTATGCTAACTGATGTTGTGTGTTCTCTAAAGAAATAAAGTTAATGTTCGGTGTGTGACACACGAACCTGGCAAAGCAATCCCTATGACATACTTTGATCAGAGCACTTCATCCCCCACAATATAACCATGTATTGCGGGTTTGGTTATTTGGTTTCATCAGTATATGTACACAGTAATATCAGATAGATTTTCTTATATCTGGTGTTAACAGTGGTCCCAGATAACCTGTAGAGTGGTCTCAGTTCATATCACATGTTGGTAACCCACACCTCACACACACCCCACATACAACACCCACACCACACCAATACAGTCTCGACACACATTTTCACCTGGAGCGTGTGTGAGTGTGTTGAGTATTATTAATGTAAGACACAAGGTTTATTCATGAACCTGCATGTGCATAAATCATGTTTCCCTGTCACAGGTGAAGTCATCACGCTACAGCTTGGTGCCGCCAGAATATATTTGAATATGATATGACAGGAATGTCTCCTTCGTAGATTGAAGACATCAAGAGTGTCCTTGTTCACCACGAGGGGCGACTCCATATTCCAAGTTTAAATACCTTAAATAACAACGTACTTCACGGCGATGAGGTACAGTGACAGAGGCACAGAAGGCAGCAGCATGTTTCTGAACATCTTTAGTTAACAAAACGCTAATCCCGACCCCTACAGGATCAAATAGATGAAGACATCTAGATGAAGACATGTAGATGAAGACATATAGATGAAGACATATAGATGTGAAGATACAGGGTGATGTTACATGTTCTGTGCAAGGTGATGTTACATGTTCTGTACGAGGTGATGCTACATGTTCTGTACGAGGTGATGTTACATGTTCTGTACGAGGTGATGTTACATGTTCTGTACGAGGTGATGCTACATGTTATGTACAAGGTGATGCTACATGGTCTGTACGAGGTGATGCTACATGTTCTTTACGAGATGATGGTACATGTTCTGTGTGAGGTGATGTTACGTGTTCTGTACGAGGTGATGTTTCATGTTCTGTACGAGGTGATGCTACATGTTCTGTAGGAGGTGATGCTACATGTTCTGTACGAGGTGATGTTACATGTTCTGTACGAGGTGATGTTACATGTTCTGTACGAGGTGATGCTACATGTTCTGTACGATGTGATGTTACATGTTCTGTACGAGGTGATGTTACATGTTCTGTAGGAGGTGATGCTACATGTTCTGTACGAGGTGATGTTACATGTTCTGTACGAGGTGATGCTACATGTTCTGTACGAGGTGATGCTACATGTTCTGTGTGAAGTGATGCTACGTGTTCTGTACGAGGTGATGTTTCATGTTCTGTACGATGTGATGTTACATATTCTGTACGAGGTGATGTTATATGTTCTGTAGGAGGTGATGTTACATGTTCTGTACGATGTGATGCTACGTGTTCTGTATATGAGGTGATGTTATACTGTTCTGTAGGAGGTGATGTTACATGTTCTGTACGATGTGATGTTACATGTTCTGTACGAGGGTGATGTTATATGTTCTGCAATACGAGGTGAGGGTTGCATGTTCTGTAATGATGTGATGTTACATGTTCTGTAATGAGGTGATGTTACATGTTCCAGGTGATGTTACATGTTCTGTACGAGGTGATGTTACATGTTCTGTACGAGGTGATGCTTACATGTTCTGTACGAGGTGATGTTACATGTTCTGCGTACGGGGTGATGCTTACATGTTCTGTACGAGGTGATGCTACATGTTCTTTACGAGGTGATGCTACATGTTCTGGTAATGAGGGTGATGTTTCATGTTCTGTACG